CCTACAACAAGGCAAAAGGTTTGCTCCTGAAGTTTTAAAAGGCAATGGCTGCAGTGAGGTGCCAAGTGGATTTAACAGTTTATATGGACTCGCACGAGCAGATGCTGATGCAGGTTGGGTTCACAGGTTAGAGCTGAGTGGGAGGTGGTTTAGGTGGTGTCCCCAAGCCCCAGTGAAGCCTCTCACCCTCCATGAGGCACAACCAGCAGCCATGCAAGGGACTCCCTGTGCCCAGACTGGGCATCTCCTCAGGCATCGCCCACCACCCGGGTCTCTGCAGCATCCACAGCCCCCAGGGACAGCAAAGAGATGGGGGAGGATGAAAAGGAGGAGGCACCTCATGGTGGTTCATCCTGGAGGGCTCAGGAGGCTGCTGGAAGAATCTCTGTGCAGTGGCTGGGACACAGGAATGCCCAGGTGATGCCAGCAGGGAGGGAAAGGAGGCTCAGAGCCCCTTCACCTGCAGCTGGAGCACACAGGAGCATCCTGGGAAGGGATGTCAAGCTCCTGGAGAGTATGTGATGGCAGGGAAAGAGCAGATGGGAAAGGGAAATAGGGTCCAGCCCCATGGAGAAACTGGGGGAGTGGGAAACCAGGTAAAAGGTGTTTATATTCCCAGCTACAACTCGTGATGCTGCCAGAAACGGAGGCATGGAGAGGTGAAGGGATGGCCCAGTGGTGCTCAAAGAGATGCAGGAAAAGCTCCAGATGAACTAGAGGGTCTCACCTGGGCACAGCATTTCCCTTCCCACACCAACCAGCCCCGTCCCCACTCCCCAGACAAGCAGGTTCCCACCCAAGGATCTGGCTGAAAACTTCCACCAGCGGCTGCCCCGAGGGGTTCTGGGGGAGATTCTCCCTGAGATCATCACACGTTCAAACATCCCCCCCAGTCTGATTTACCTCTGACCAAGGGGAGGAGGGGGTGGTGACCCACAGCTCATTTCTCCCACCGTCTGTGTCATTCCACACTCTGTTCCCACGGAGATGGCACAGAAGGTGGCTGGAAGGGGACTCAGCAGCTGGCACAGCACCCAGCACCGGGGACCAGGGAAGGAGGAACAAGTATTTTCCATAAAGTGTGAAAGGAGGAGGAGCATGGGAGAAAGCAGCAGCCCAGCAGGCACAGAGGAAATTATTAATTATCAGGATGCAGCAATGAGGACCCTGCAGGCTGGATGCACATCCTTGCCTCCCATCCCTGGCCTCCAGCAGCACCCATGGAGCAGGATGGGGTGTTTGGGTGCCCCAAGCACCATCCCACATGTGAGAGTTGACCACATTTAAAGCGCAATTTTTAGGTGCAATTTGAAAAAAAGTGAGAAATAAACATTTAAATATATATGAATATATAGATATTTATATAGCTTTTTCATAGAATCGTAGAATATCCTGAGTTGGAAGGGACCCACAAAGATCATTGAGTCCAGATCCTGGTCCTGCACAGGACAGCCCCAAGAACCTGTAGTTGCAGACACAAATGCTGATCCCAGTTCTCATGTCAAATCACAATGGGATGTCCCCACACAGGAGGGGCTTCAGGAAAGCAGCACATGGAGCAGTGCTGGGAAAATACAGCAACAACAACTGTTTGGGACAGCTGAAGCTCTGTTTTCTGTAATTTAAACGATATATTAATTTATTCAAACCTTGTATTAGCAAAGGGAGAAAAGAGTCCTGATTCAGAGTATTTTGGACTGTTTAAGCCTATTTATGGGACAAGGCTGTTCCTGGGAATGGCGAGGGGAAGCTGTGCTGTCCTGGTTTGCAGCCCATCTGCTTTGGCTGCTCTTTGCAGGAGGCAGGACGAGCACTGAACATGGTGAACAGCAACGTGGGAAACCTTGTCCAGACTTTTTCTTAATGGATTTAACTTAATTAAGTGGCTCCAGTGGGAATTTATCACACGGGAGGAGAAGACACAGCCACTGCTATGTGAGGACAAGCTGGGGGAGCCACAATGGGATGGGTGCAGGACCTGGAGGCTACCATGGGTGTTCTGGCTCCCATTATCCCACCAGCCCTTTATCCTCACCAGGCAAACACCAGTAAATACTCAGGGCTTGGATCCCTCAGAGACAAGGCTGGAAAAGCCCATCCTTGTACAGGGATTTGCACAGGGATGGCACAGCCAAGCTACCACTGTGGGGCACGTGTGGGGCTGTGGAGGCACCAAGGGATGTGCCAAGGGATGTGCCAAGGGATGCGCCAAGGGATGCACTGAGAGGTGAACCAAGGGATGCACTGAGGGATGTACAGAGGGATGCACCAAGGGATGGCCCAAGGGATGCACCAAGGAATGTGCCACAGGATGTGTCCAGGGATGCACGGAGGGATGTGCCAAGGAATATGCCACAGGATGCACCAAGGGATGAACCAAGTGCTCGCTTTTCAGGCAAGGATTCCAGCCGAGGCTGAACAAAGAAAACATCCTCATTATTGCCTTAGATCCTTAACTTTTGACGCAGCTTTCCCCGCTCCCACAGGGCTCCTGCCTGTGTAAGATCACTCCTGTTTACACCCAGTAAACACCAAATACAGCTTCCCCGTGCCCCAGTCGGGTGATGTCCCTGGGATGCACAAACTCCAGGTGAATATTGACTTTGTGCTGACAAGGCTCCAGTCCAAATACCACCCACTGCACGGGGCGGCCAAGGGGGCCGGCACGCCTGCGATCCAGCGATGGAATGATTTGATTCCCCAGCCCTGCAGCATTCTGCCTGCGAGGAAATTTTCATTTTGGTCTCTCCAACTCGAGCACCAATTGTAAATGTCAGCGCTAAACGCTCAGATTTAAGTGTTGGGTTGTCTTGTTTGATTACGGCACTAAAAGGTCAGGGCTGACTAATGGAAAGTACAAGCGGTATCGGGAGGGAAACTGTGTTCTGCCGTGGCTCAGCAAACACCTGGGGACAACCTAATCACTCTTCCCGCTGCATCTCTCTCTTCCCTCTCCGGCTCCTTCACTCAGGGTTGGTTTTTTCAGGTCTTTCAACCTGGAAAAGCCATTTCTGGGGAAAATTCCTGCCTGTGACGTTGCTGCCGGGGATGCCGGCAGTGCTGGCTTTCCTCCTGGAGGAAACGGGAGCTCATCTCGCCATGGCCTGGCTGGATTTGCTCCCAAAGGGGAAGGGATTGCACCAGAGCCAGGCTGCAGCCACCCCCCACTGCCATCACCCACTGCTCTCCATGGGTGGCACCGAAGTGCTCTGGATGCCAAAGTTTCTCTGCATCCATTCACATCCCCATTTTGGCCTCCCTCTGGCAACCAGCATCCCAAGAGCTCCACGCAGAGAGCAGAACAGGACTTTTTCCCTCCTCCTTTCCCATTTGCCATCCATTTTCCAACACTTGCAACACCTTTAAATTCCCCCTTCCCTGAGTTGTTCCAGTCATGGTGGCCAAACAAAACTCCAGTTGCCTCAGACTGAGCTCAGGAAACTGCTTTTTCCTGAGCCCATTCTCATCATCCCAGCTCTATAAGCAGAGTTCGTTGTGTTTATTTTAAAGCTGCTTTCAAAAATATTAGTCCTTCTGCCACAAAAGTGCCTGGCAGAACAAAACCCCAAGGAGCTGTTCCTCCTCTCTGGGGAATACTGTGGTGGGCCCAAGCAGGAGCACTCATTCCTCCATACAGATGCCATCCCACACTGGGATCTGGTCCCTGCTGCCAACCCTTAAATCCCTCCAGGGATGAGGACTCTACCACTGTCCTGGGCAATATCTTTCAATGCCTGACATCCCTTTTGGTGGAGAGATTTTCCCTGATTCCAAATCTAAACCTCCTCTGGCACAACTTAGACCATTTCTGCTTGTCCTATCCCTTGTTCCCTGGGAACAAAGCCCAACCCCCACCTGGCTCTCCCCTCCTGTCAGGGAGTTGCAGAGAGTGAGAAGGTCCCCCCTGAACCTCCTTTTCTCCAGGTTGGGCCCCCCCAGCTCCCTCAGCCACTCCTGGTGCTCCAGATCCTCATTATAAAAGGTAGTTGTCTTATTCACAGGTCCCTTTGCAGGAGCATCCCTGGGGAAAGGGTCCCATTAAGCAGAGGATGGTGCCAGAAGGATGAAGGGGCTCAGAAACCACCAAAAATACAGGAGGGGAAAAAGTCCTCACACCATCACCAATATCAAATGCAAAGAAATCCAAGAAAAATATCCATCTCCTAACTGAGCTGTTTCCTTCACAGTCCAGGCATGGAGTGGGACAGAGCCTGAGCTGCACTGGGGAAGTCAAGGCAGCTTGTGGTCTGTAAGATTAATAGGAAATCTGCTCTGGACTGGGAGTGATTCCCTCTTTTATTGCAATGAACCCCAAAGAGTAATGGCTCTAGGGCAAGAAGAGGAAGGCAAATTGCAGTAATAATGTGTTTCCTTGTGCAGACATGCTTTTGATCATAGAAAATACACCATCTGTTTCTAAATTACTTGTATTGATTTAACAGTTAGAAACGTGAGGGGAGATCTTTTTTTTTTCCTCCTGCAAATCCATTTTGTGAGGTCGCCTGGAAATCTGACAGTTCTGGGCAATAAAAAGTACGGGCTTGTTCATCACAAAAGATTCCTGCTGCCAGGAATGGGGCTGTCCTGGGACATCCCCTTCCTCTCCATCACCCTGTCCCACTGAGAGCTGAGCACCCGAGTCCTGGTGCACCCCATAAGAACTATTTCTTTACACCAAATAAGATGTTCTTGTGTTTCTTCTTCCCTGTGGGGGTGGTGAGGCCCTGGCACAGGTTGCCCAGAGTAGCTGTGGACGTCTCATCCCTGGAAGTGTTCAAGGTCAGGCTAGATGAACAACCTGTTTGTTCCCACCTGAATCCTCCCAGACCAGCACCACCAGCTCACAGCAAAGCCCCACAGCCTCCACACAAACTCCTTCCTTTCCCTGGTGGAAAACACCCCAAGCCCAGGCATCGTCCACAAAACGACTTTCTACTTCTCCAAGTGAAATCAGGAGATGGATCTTGGCTCCTGCTGGTTGTGATCTGCAAGGTTTATTCAACCCAAAAAAAAAAAAAAAAAAAAAAGGCATTTTCATGCAGAATCTTTTGGTTCATAGAAGAAGTTATTCTGCAGTAGCCACCTGACAACCCTCCCCCCCAAACCGAGAACTAAAGTGACTCCGGAGTGAGCAAAACCGAACGCGCTGTCCAATCCCGACACACAAAAGTGGTTCCTATCATTTCGTACAACAGGGGGAAATTTGGCAAACACAGCTGATCTGCAGTTCCCATCTCTTAAGCACTTTGGGGCTGGCTTTGGCCTCCAATCCTCGGGTTGCCTGTCTGGAAAACAGACACGTGTCCTTGTGCTGCGGGACCTGGGGACTCTCCGGGGGGAATCCGAGCCAGGTGAGGGAAGAGCTGCTGTGTCAGCATTTTTAAGTGGGGGATATAAATATAAAACATGGATACAAACGGGTTCTTCGTACACAAAATATCATCTCTCAAGGCACTGGGGTGACGGCCCTGCTGCCACTCGTGGGCTCTCACTGGGCTTCTGCAGCTGCTTAGGAAGGAGGGGAAGAAGGGACCGGAGAAGTCCCAGTGCTGCCATCCAAGGGGGATTTCACCCAGACACCCCGGGAGGGAGTTTTCCCAGCGGATGGTGCTTTTCCTTGGTGGGGGTGGTGTGATCCCACAGGGGCCTCAGTCTCCTTGGGATGGCTTGGGGCTGGGTTCGGCCAGGAGGGAGGTGCATAGATAGGCCGGGGGCTCGGGCTGCTCCGCTCCCTCGTCATGCCAGCAGCCCCAGCCGGGTCACCTTGGCTGAGAGGAAGGAGTGGATGATGAAGACGATGGTTTTGGGGCAGGAGTGAAGGTCCAATTGCTGCAAGAAAGGAAGGGAGGGGTGTTTACAAAGGGGAAGGCTGTTTCTGGAGCAGCTTTCAGCCAGAGACCACCCAGACCCCCCAGTCTCTACTACGGCCTTACCCTGGGGCCCTGGGAAGAGCTGTGCACCCTGGTTGGGGCAGATGGATGGGCCATGCCTCACCCCCATGCCAGGCAGGATGGGTGCTGTGCCCAGGGCGGGTTCTCTGCTCCCCCTCTCCCCTGGGACTGGTGGGAGTGTGGGTGGGGGGTGCTGAAGGCAAAGCCAACTCACGATCTCTCCCTCTGGGCCACCAAAGTCCAGGTAGAGCATCTTGGTGCCGTCATCCGAGGACATCTGCAGCTTCTCGAAGGGCTGCTGGAGCAGGATGGTCCTGCTGAGCCCGGGCTCCGTGGTGGAGATGGTGAAGCCCTTGTCGATGTGGACGGTCAGGGTGCACTCCTGCCCCTTCCACGTGCAGGCTGGGGACGGGGAGG